TTTTTTTTTTTTTTTTTGGTACTAGGGTCAAACTCAGGACCCTGTGTTTGCCAGATAGGCATTTATGCCACTGAGTTATATATCCCTGGCCCTTATCAAAAATATATACACTAGCCATCTGTCAACATTTTAAGAAAAAAACAAATTCTTCAATGTCTGCACTATGTTTTCCTGGGGAACAGTTTAATAGGTACAGTAGCACCTTGGTCCACCAATGCTTATAAACAATTTGGTTTACAAACAGACGTGGTTGGCAAAATTTTGTTGTTTGGAAGGTGCGTGTATGACAAGTGTGACTGCAGCAATCTTTCCCACACAAACACAAACATGGCTATCTTTTCTAAAATTGTAGAACAAATTAAGTTCATGAACAAAGTCACCGCTGTGTTTTCTTTTAAATTTTTATTTATTTTTTATGTATTTAGAATAGGGTCTACAGGATCTTGCTACACAGATTGAACTCAGTGATCCTCCTGTTTTCAGCCTCCCAAGTGCTGGGATTATAGGTGCACACGACCATGCCCAGTTTTAGTCCCCTTCTCAGCCGTGGCCCTGGGGCAGGGCCAGTATGACACACGAGGGATCAAAATCCATGTCTCTGAGTCTGTCTCAGCAGGCGCTTTAATCCACTGAGTTATCTGGCTGGCCCTGTGTTGTATTTTCTCAATACAGAGTAAATCGGGTTTTTCTCTTGGAAGAGTACACCACAGCCTGTGGCTGTCCCTGGCAAAGATGGTACTATGCTTCCTGTCAGATGACCTGCATATCATTAAGGGATTATTACTGGAAAGTGATCATGTCTTCAGGGAAAATTATTCTTTAAAATGTTACTAATCAACTAAGTTGTGCTAAAAACAGTCAAAAGACTAGAGAGAAACCCCATATGCTGAAATGTTAACAATGAGTACTCCCTGGTAAGCACAAGGGCCTGAGTTCAATCCCCAGTGCTGCCAAAAAAATAAAAAAAATAAAAAAATAAATAAATTGATTATCTCTAAGTATAATTACACAAAGTATAATTGCACAAAGGGAAGACAGAAAAATTTAAATTGATTTTATCTTTTTTGACAGCATTTATTATTTTTATAATAACAATGACAGATGTTAAAGAATCTTACCTGTAACTCCCCTTGCCACCACCCACTTGTATTTTTCTTTAGGATTAATATTAGTTGTCCTGGTGCAAGGCTAAGTTGTTCAGCACCAGAAGCAACATATGCTGAAGTGACTTGGGCAATTTCTGAAAAGAAAAACACAACTATGAGTTCAAAATTATGACAAAGCAAACTCTTGAATCAGTTCTCAAGCTCATTAGTGTACATACCAGGTTTTTTGTTTGATGTTCCAGATTTGCTAGCACTCCCCAAATTCTACAAGGAAAAGACATGTTTTTATCATTTCCTATAATCCAAATGTAAAAGTATAGAGCTTACTAGGAAGGAAAAAATTCTAATCCCTATGATTTCTTTAAATGACCATCAAAATGACAATGAACCTTACATTAACTAAATAAGTGAACAATCCAACACTTACCAGGAAGTTTGGTCTGTTAATGGAATACTCTGTAGACAAGCAGTTGATGTTATCATCCACTGACTCAGCAGGATGAGCTCATTTTCTGAGTTTCCTTCAACTATCCAACATGCCCGAACAGGTCAAATGCATCACATCCATTGATGAGATCAGCATCAACACCCACTCCCTACCACACATGTGAGGCAGAATGCCTTGCTCCTGTTTTCTCTAAAAATCCTGACTCACAGCTTCAGCAGAGCAGGAGGCAATGATATTTTATCATACTACCCCTAAACTGACTGAACCTGATTTAAGAATAAAAATAATCATACCATAGTAGCAACTAAAACTTGTTGCCTTTAAAATACAAATGAGACCAATCATATTTCCTTTTTTTTTTTTTGACATTTACTAAAAAAATGGAAAGGGGTTATCAAAAAGAATTTTCTTGGGCAGGACAGATAGTTCAGTCTTGGACTAAAGCACCTGCTTAGGCAGAGCACAAAGGCCAGGGTTCGAGTGCCATGCTGGCCCTGCCCCCAGGGCATGCTAAGAAGGAGATTGAGACTGGGCGTGGTGGTGTGTGCCTGTAATCCCAGCACTTGGGAGGCTGAAAACAGGAGGATCACTACAAGTCCGATCTGTGTAGTAAGACCCTGTAGAGCCTGTACCAAATTTTCTTTTCTGCTACTGTAACAGGTGGAATGAAAGTATTAGAGTTGCTGGGAATGTACAGGTAACATTTTCTGAGTACCATGTAACAGGTACTGGTCTGAGCAGCTACACATATTTACCTGTTTAATTTTTAGAATAATACTATTAAGTAATTATGATCACCTCAATTTTACAGAAAAGAAAACTGAGGCACAGTCCCACTACTTGTCCACTGCAGGGAAGGTTTTAAGCATGTGACTGATAGATCCCTGGAAATAGACACCGGGCCCCTTCTAAGAGTCTGTGGGGTGAAAATAATTTTCATGACAATATTAAGGCAGTGTTTACATTCACTGTGAATAAAACTACTGGTGCTGAGTTGAGTGTGGTGGTGCATACTTGTAATTCTAGCACTCGGGGAGGGGGGCAAGAAGATCACTGTGAATTGCAGGCCAGCTTGGGTACATAGTGCATTCAAGGCCAGCCTGAACTACATACAGGACCCAGTCACAAACAAACAAACAGGCCCTATTGGTGCCTTAGCATGAATCAAGGCATTGGTACTTAATTATACTATTAGTCATAGCATCTTTAGTACCATGTACTCGCAGCAAAAAAAAAGCCAGTTTTACTTAAAGATGCCCTTGACACTGGAAATTTTACTAAATCTTAATCCTTGAGTATATATTTTCAATAATTTTGTGTGACTAAACAGAAGTGTGCCTAAAACATTTCTGCTGCAGCCAAGCAGGTTTGTTATCCCAGCCCTTGGAGGCTGAGGCAAGGGAATCTCCGTAAGCGTAAGACCAGCCTGGGCCTCAGTGTGAGGTCAGGGTTGGCAGGAAATATACAGGAGATTTTGTTTCAAGAAAAAATCCCAACCAATTAACTAACTAAATAAATAATAAAAAAGTACAATGATTGTCTCAAGGAACAGGACTCATGCGAATAAACTGTGAGCTAAGTTTTTTTCATGCAACATTTTTACTTCAAAAAACTCACATGGAATGATTTAGACTTGTGATTTAGCAATTATTTTCTCAAAACTGAAATAAAATGAAGTAAACCCTCCACTTCAAGGAAAACAGTTGGTAGGACTTATTGTCAATGACAAAATTCAAACTTTTATATGTGACAGCTCTCCAGGCTTTCCTGATGAGTGGTGATATTAATCAGCATGATTTCTTGATTTCATTTAATGAAGTATTTCAATACAGAGAAACTTTGCATAATTCAGTGATTCAGTATTTTCCAAATGAACAATGAATGTCGTTGTATTTCAAACAGTGAAGGGGTAAAAGATCCATTCAATGTACAGAACAGACTAATGAATTTTGAGGTAATAGTAAGTGATATTCACTGATATAGCTTCAAATTCATGTAGTACCTAGCCTAGAGTAAGTCACTACTTGTCAAGTTGTAGCACAACAGAATCAAAGAATATCCACAGACATCCTGAATTATTAAATATGTTCCCATTTTCTTCTTTTTGTGGTACTGGGGAATGAACTCAGGACTTTGTGCTTCCCAGGCAGGCACTTATGCCACTGTTATCTCCCCGGCCCCTATGTTTCATTTTCTTCCATGTCTGTATCAGGTAGAATTTTCCTTATATAATATGTAACAACAGACTGAATATAGAAAGAGATTTGAGAATCTATCTTCAATTAAGCCAGACCTTAAAGAGATCTGTGGAAATATAAAATAATGCCATTCCAACTAAATATTTTTCTTGAAAACTATGGTGCTTTTTTAACAAAAAGTTCTTTATGTTACCATATAGTGGATTTAACTATTATTTTTAAAATGAATTAATAAATATTTAAATAACTTTAGTTTTTCTAATTTCTAATATGGTAATTATCACTAAATACAATCTATAACTAAATACAATCTATAACTAAAAAAAACCCTTTGAGATGGTCACCAGTAGTTTTCTTTTTGAGACAGGATCATGCTATGTACTTTAGACTGGCTTTGAACTCATGGCAATCCTTCTGCCTCAGCCTCCCAAGTGCTAGGATCACAGGTGTGAACCACTATGCTCAGCCCAATAATTTTTAAGAATCCAGAAAGTCTAAGAACTGCTTTATAACATACTGGTGACAGAATTAAAAACAGTAGGAACTTCAGAGTGCAGCAAGAGTCACATTAATGCTAGTGCCTTAGAGTACAGATTTATGGCCTTCTGTAAAGCAATGAATCCAGAACCACTTCTTAGTTCTGATTATCATGAGGCTCAAACTTATCTCTGACTTTGCTCCTAAAATTTCATAAATTCTCTTCCACTGGTCTTCTAATTGACATCATATCCTACAATAAAATCTATAGCATTAGAGTTATCTTGAATGGCTTCCGTATAACCAAAGTAGGCTGACCAAAATCATACATAAAATCTCTTTTAAGTATGAATCCTGAACAGTAAGAACAGAATGACTTTGTTTTTAATACCAAAATAAGTCTACCTCTTGATCTTTTGGTTTGACATAGTTGGATGGGAAAATTCCAGTTTTATCTCCAATACTTCCTGTCCACCATTCTCCATCTTTTCGTGTCACCAGTATTTCTTCACCTTCAGTGAAAGTCAAATCTCCTGGCTCTACACTTGAATATGGATAAAGTGCAATATATTCTGTAGGGAACAAAGTAAAAGAAGTAGGTTTTTATTGATGATTATAGAAGCAAAAAGAAATGAGGTTAATCTGTAAGATCCTATATGTTTACCATAAGAGACCTTGTCCCTCCAATATAAGAAGATCTGAGTGGGTGTGGTGGCACATGATTATAATCCCAGAACTCTGGGACTAGTGGCAGGAGGGCTGCAAACTTAAACCCAGCCCTGGCTGAGTGACTTAGTGAGACTTGGTCTCAAAATATAAAATAATTAAACAAAATAGGGCTGGGATGTAGCTCAGTGCAGAGGCACTGGGTTCAGTCCCTAGTGCCAACACCACCACCAAAAAGAAGGAAAAAGCTCTGAAGGGCACAGCTTGGTGGTGCACACCTGTAACCATTGTATACTAGGGAGGCTGAGGTAGAAGGATCACCAGTTTAAGGCCAGTCTAGAATATACCCTGAGAACCTGCCTCAAAAATCAAAATAAAGCAAAAAGATCTGAAGGAAGAAAAAGGAATGAAAGCATTTTATTATTTAATAATTGCTTTAATTATTGATTTAACATAAAGCTTTATTAAGGGGCTTCTTTCTTCCAATTGCTTTGTTACCACCATTGATTTTAAACGCTAACAATCAGTGAAAACTACAAACACATACTAATATTTTTCAGATAATGAAACTGAGGCTGAATGAGGTTAAGTCACTTCAAAGATGAGTCAAGATAAGAAAAAAATTTCACCTTGTACAAAATATACTTTCAAGTGCTAAATTCTCTGCTCTTTAATTCTTTTATTTACACAATCATATCTAGGAGACAGTAGCACTAGAAACCAATTTCTAGTACAATGTCCCAGATCTCAGCACAGTGCTTGGCTTTAAGTAGATGGTCAATAAATATCTGTTAATGATGACTTAGAGGAAACTACTTATGTTTCTATCTTGATTTTTGTTCTTGTGATTATTATTACTCAGAAGAAAAAGTTATTTCTGGGTTTGAGATGTTTTTGATTTTTCTCTTCTATTTTATTTGTATTTACCAACATGTAATTTGATCACATACTAGCAGTAATCAGAAACACAATCTATAGCCTATTTACCATTCAGGTTCCCAGTATTATTAATTTAGCTGTTTAACAAAACAAAAAGTAATTACAAAGCTTACAGAAATTGCAGTAAGTCATTTCCAAAATGCTCCTCACTATTTCCTAGGTTCTGTTCACAGCTCTCATTCCACAGAACATTCATGATGGCAGCATCCCTGGAGACCTCAGTTCCCTCCCCTTCGAGGCTCAGCCCACTGACTGTGTCCAGAAGCCTCTTCTCTTCTGTCACTGTGCGAGGTCCTACTCATTGCTGCTGATGAAGCAACATTACTACCTCTGGGGATCCACAGCTCCTACTCAGATCTAAGTTGTATCCTGTTCACAAAGTACAGAAATGCATCGCAACTATAGGCCAGTGGTGGCAAACCTATGGCACACACGCGATAGCGGGTTGTTATCACCGAAAGCCCAAGAGGTTTGTCATCACTGTTATATGGTCTAATCTCATCCTGCTCCATTGGGAGCAGTTTAGAGATTATGGCTTATCCTTGTGTCTTTTTAATGCTAACACAGAATTTTATAAATATTGAATAAACTAATTTGTCATTAAATCATTTTGTTTAGCAAAACATGGAATGATGGAATGTACTTCACCTCCACAATGAACATATACATTTCAATTATAAATCTATGTAACTATTAAACAAATATTGTCTGAAATTTGGGCAATTTGTGAAAATTTCATTTTTCACATTGACAAAACCAAAATAATTTACTACCTGAACTCAAAATCCTGTCCAAAAAAAGTTGTCTGCAATATTTATAGAGCGCCACAATTTCAAACCCTAACTAATGATTTATATGGCACACTATAACTGAAATGCGGTTTGTAGACAAGGACATGTACTGAAATTTTTTTACCTCCTAAAAAACTAGTTAATCATTGTAACCTTATTTATAGTCTTATATATATGCTGACATGTTTTAGCACAGACTTGCTAAAAGTGCCAAGCCATGTTTTCTCTGTATTTTCACAATGTGAATATATGCAGCACATTTTCCTAACCTCACTTTAATACTAAGAGTACAGAAATGGACTAGCATGCACAAAGTTAAATAATGAATCAATCACTATACGACTCCCGTCTAATTTACCATTGCCAAAAGCTCACCTTCTCCAACTGGATGGGCTGTGGAGGTAGGTTTCTTATTTACAGGTGCATACAAAGCTTCTGGTCTGCCAAATAAATATACCATAAGAAACAATAGTGAAACAAATGAAAAGATACAAGCAAGCAAAAACCAAGAATGGTGATCTGATCAATGCAGAATTCTCAAATTAATTCTGTGTCTCAGTACAGTCTAGCAATACTCTCATACACAAAATTTTTCTGTGGAAAGAACTACATATATGAATGTTCACACTTAATACTAAAGTAAGGTCAATATGAGTCAGTGTTTCAAATGTGAGAAAATGTGCCTTTCAGATCATACTTAAGACACTGGCACCTCAGCAAGTGAGTCCTCCTTGGGAAAGCATTTAGGGAGTGTGGCTTGGGCAATAGATGGCTTTTATTCATTGTATATTAACGTAAACATAAGTAATAACTTTTCTTAGATCTCAAAACATGTGTAACTTATTCCCATTTTATTTTTAAAATTTAATTAATTAATTAGATACAGGGTCTCACTATGCAGCTTGGACTCATAGTGATCTTCCTGTCTCAGTCTCCCCAGCGACTGGATTACAGGTGTGCGCCACCATGGCATGTGGCACTGGGGATGAAACCCGGGTCCTTGCACTTGCCAGGCAGGTGTTTAGACTGTGAGCTATCTCCCCAACCCTTTATTTCCATTTTAATCTAGAAAAACTGTTTTCAAAAGTCAGGAAGACTCAGCTTTACAAGCTAGATACCAGTGGGATGTGCCAGGTCCCTGGGCCTTGTGAGTAGTTTTACAGTATAAGCAAAGAGTTTTTCAAGTTGACAGAAGGAAAGCTCTTAATAAAACTAGTGGCCAGTACTGAAGAGACTGCCTCAATTAGTGCTGGGTTCTCCATTACTGCATGTTCTCAAGTTATATGACTTGGATCTTTTAGAAAGAACAGGTAACTGAAAGGAAGTTAGAAAAAATGCCCTCCAAAACATGCAAACTCATCTTTTTTTGCTTAAGTGTTCTTCTGTGTAAAATGTTAAGATTAAATATGATATTTCCTACAAAAGGCCAAGCACAATATCACACACAAATTTCAGCTATGTATTAATTATTTTTTGAAAATTCCGTATCAGTTTGAAAAGCAAATTCCTGTACTTGAACTATATTGCTAAGTAGAAATTCAGCACTGAAAGAATCCTTAAAGACTATTTAGTTCAGTCTTTTCATTCAATCAGTTAGAAAACTGAACAGCACAGGTTGCCCTGTATGGTCTGGAAAGAATGGCAGGGCCAGACTCAAGCCTTGTGGTTTCCGAGGACCACCAACACCTTCCATTCTGTCAGACTGCTTTCTATCTAGACCAGCTTCCAACACAAAGGTGGCTACCTACAGGCATATCATATCGTGCTTATTTTTTTGTGTTAAGATATCTGGTAGCTTTTTGTTTTGTTTGTTTTGAGATGGGTCTGACTATGTAGTGCAGTCTGGCCTCAAACACATCAATCCTCCTGCCTCAGTCTCCTGAGTGCTGCACGGATTAAATACGAGTGCCACCCTGTGCAGCAATATTTGATAACTTCATTCCCCTAAAGACTAGGAAATAAAGGCCAGAAATCTTAACTCTCTAGTTTTTTATTTTGCTCATTTGAAAGTTCATTCGAGTATTTTTTCCTTATTCACTGAGCTAATATAATTCAACAGCTATGCTGTGCTAAGACTGTATTATGCGTGAGAAGAGTGAAAAATAAATAATAGCAACAGAAGAGATGGACCTGAAGCTCCATGAAGTCTCTCAATAACAAAAGAGGTTTAAAAAGTCAGTAACTATAATGCTATATCCTAGGAGCACTAGTGATGTTATGTTTAAGGAACCCTGGAGGTCCAGATAGAAATGCTCCAAGGTGATAAAGGGGAAGAGCTCAGTCAGGAGTTACTTAAAAGCTGGGTTCTGTGCAGCACACCTGTACTCCAGCACCTGGGAGGCTGAGGCAGGAGGAGGATCACAAGTCGAAGCCCCACCTGGGTAATAAAAAGTGTCAGGGATTTAGCTCAGGGTGAAGGTCCTCGGTTTAATCTCTAGTGTAAAAGCAAAGCAGCAAAAATAATTATTTAGAAATTGAAGAATTTTAGTAAACAAGCGAAAAATGTTACGAATAAACTGAAAAAAAAACTTTTTTTTTAAAAACTGAATTTATGGCACCAAGAAAGCAATACATCTAAATTCTTAAGTATAATGCTTAGAAAACCTCAATTCTGAAAAAAGAGTAGAAGAACAGTCTAACATTGGCAAAAACACCTTTGGTATGCTTTTCCCTCTAAGAACTGCCTTCTGGATACCAAACCCAAGCATAAACTTTTACAAGTATTTACTAGCAAGAGCACCAACATCTACATGGTCCCTAAACACAGAAACACTTACTCTCCACGCTTTACTTCACTCCCAGGAATGATCTTGACGTAAGATTTTGGAAACCATCCTCTCCCTCCATGCGCCTCCCCAAACCACCAATTCTCTTGCTGCTCCAAGACGGTAATGACATCATGCTTGGAGAAATTCAGGTGGTTATCTTTCTTTGCAGTCCAGGAACAAAGGGCCTGTGCTTTCAGGTTTTCTACAACCTGCCCCTGTGAATACAATCACACACCAAGAAAAGAAGTAAAATACCATGGTAACCAAGATGTCAGCTTCTGAGTATGTAACACACTTACTGTGTAAACAGGTTTGGTGTGGTTGTGACATCGCTACAATCTGCTAACTACCCAAACAAAACAAAACAAAAATTAGGTAAGAGGGACAACTCAATCAAGTGCAGGCTCCCAGAATACCTCCTTGGCATGGGGGAAATGGTGATTACATGAGGACACAGCCACAGCTACCTCTTCGCAGTATTCCACACCCTACTTAGCACATCCTGTTCTCTGTTATGCCTTCTCATGTTTTAAGAGTATTTTGTAATCAATAAGTCCCTCTTAGCATTCTTCTTTCCTTTTCTCTATTTTCCTCTGTGTCTAAATTCCTGAAAGAATTGTTGGGCCGAGAATATAGCTCAGCAGCAAGCGCTTACATGGCAAGCTTGAGGTCATGAGTTCAATATCTGGTACAAAAAAAAAAAAAAAGAATTGTCTTAAACTTGTTTTCCAGGGTGGCCCCTTGATCTCTTACAATTTAAGTTTTGTACTATCAGACCACTGAACCTTTTCCAGACAAAGTTAGGAATAGTAACATCAAAGTAAAAAATTTCTAAAACTTTATTCTTCTGATCTCTAAACAGTGCTGACATTACTAAAACTGTTATGGTTCCCGAAACTCACTCTGATAATTAAGGGTTTCTCTTGTCCAGCCCTCTTCCCTTACTGCCCCACACGACTTGCTGAGCAATATTTGTGCCTATAAATCATTCCTTTTCTGTGAGCTTTCAACTTGTACATCAAAATGCCACTGGACACTCCCACTGGCTGTCTCTACTGCAGATACCTCAAGTTACCATGTCTGAAATGTAACTGCTTTTAGGGTTTAGGACACCACACCTCCTCTGCCGGCACTGCCTGTCAAAGACAATGATCTTACTGTTCTTTCAGTTGCTCAAGTTAAATTCTCTGAAGAATTATCTTTAACTCCACCTCCTTTTCACTCTCCACTTTCATTGAACTATTTTATGTCAATTCCTAACACTATTCCATCTATTTTTATTACTACAGCACTGGCTCAAACCACATGTCATTACTTACTGTATTTAGCCTCTCTTAATTAATCATCTTCTTTTGCTTCTTTTTGCCCATACAGCCTCTTCATTACCACCAGGGTTATTTTTCTTAAGCATATCATCAAATCCTCTCTTAAAAACTTCTCTTGGCTTATCATTGTCAAGTTGCTTAACATGGTACTAAATGCTTCATCTGTACATCTCAACCTCACCTCTTAAACCTCTTCATGAACCCTGTTTTCTAGCTGTAATATAAATTATTCTCATTTTCTACAAATACTGTATTTCCATGAAAATAAGACTCCATCAGGAAATAAGCCCTACAATGATATTTTGAGGACAGTTGTAATATAAGCCCTACCCCCACAATAAATCCTAGTTAAGATCATCAGCCACACAGAAGTACTTTGTTGGAATACATGATAGATATGTCAAATTATGACATTAACGTATAATCAAATATAAATAACATTGGCATAGTTAAAATTAATGATAACATAAATATTAAGTATTTGTAAATGCCCAAGTAAGTGCCTTGGGGTGAGAGGAAAACACCTATATAAGACTTCTTGCCAATGTCCAATCAGAGCACAGATACAAGAAGACATTAATAATGTGTGCCCTTGATAATGAATGGATGTAGATGAGTCTATATTAATTTTTTTTTATGTATTTAGTAAAGGGTCTACAGGGTTTTACTATACAGATTGGATTTGTAATGATCCTCCTGTTTTCAGCCTCCCAAGCTCTGGGATTACAGGTGTGTGCCACCACGCCCAGTCTCAGCGTGCCCC